GGGACTAAAAGGAGTAGGGTTTAAATGATTTGGATGGTGGAGATGCATCCACATTCCACACGCCCTAATCAGAGATGCAATTTAACCTAGAAACTCATGTTAAGTGGTTACATAACTTAATACACATTCAATGCAATATAACGTAGCTTTAAATGGGAGTGTTACCTAACAAGAGGTCACCGTTAAGTTACAAAACGGGTTATAATGGGTTGTATAATGCGTTTTTTTCAACACTTAATCAGCTTAACTTCCTTGCATGTTGAGTTGTAACTAGCTATAACCCTCAACCCGCACCATGACTTCAAAGTTTCTACCAGTTTGGAATGATATATGTTCAGAAATATAGACTGCTAGCTTCGCAACTCACAGTTTTCAGAACATGTCCATATAAGACTTAAACTTTTCTATCCCTCTCTCATTTGGAAGGCTTGAAACTTTTAACTTAGACAAAAAATAAACATGCAGATAAGCAATTATGCTGGCTTTTGGTTCATCATGCTCTTCGTCTCCATCTTCACAACTGGAATCCTAGAACTAAGATGGAGCGGTGTAGGAATCGAAGATTGGTGGAGAAACGAACAGTTTTGGGTCATCGGTGGCACATCAGCCCATCTCTTTGCTGTCTTCCAAGGACTACTAAAAGTCTTAGCAGGAATCGATACCAATTTCACCGTTACAGCCAAAGGTTCAGATGATGATGAAGACTTTGCAGAGCTCTATGTTTTCAAGTGGACAACCCTTCTTATACCTCCAACTACTGTACTTGTTGTCAACATGGTGGGTATAGTTGCAGGAGTTTCTTATGCCATTAACAGCGGATATCAATCTTGGGGTCCTTTATTTGGAAAGCTATTTTTCTCGATATGGGTTATTGTTCATCTTTATCCTTTCCTTAAGGGTTTGCTTGGACGACAGAATAGAACGCCGACAATTGTTATCGTTTGGTCTATTCTTCTTGCTTCCATATTCTCACTGTTGTGGGTGAGGATTGATCCATTTACTTCTGATAGCCAGAAGGCTGCAGCAAGGGGACAATGTGGCATCAATTGTTGATGATGGATAGAGACTAAAATCACGTTTTCCATTTCATCATTTATTTAATTGTTGCTGTGGAGTATCAAGAACAAGAAACAAAATGCTTTGTTGTAGTTATATTTATTTGGAGTAATGTAAATTTATTTGGAGCCTATGGATGATGTATCGCTAAGGTTTTTTTTTCCTCTTTCTTTTTTGGGGCATCTCAATTTCATGGTATGTAGATTATATTCATTGATTTGCTCCCTCGGGTGTTTCAAGATTGTAAGCATTTTGTTTTAGTTATATTGGATATGGAGTTGTAAATTGATAAGGAGTATATTAATGATGTATTGTTAAGAGTTTGTTTGTTGCTTGGTAGGCATCTGAATTTCTTGGTTTAGAGATATCATATGCATTGTTTTGCTGCCTAAACTATGGTAAATAATTCATGAAGTTCACGGAATGGTGAATCAGAAGGCTGTTTAATCAGTCGTTTATTTAATTGTTGTCGCGTGCTATCAAGAACACTATACCAAATATTTTGTTGTAGTTATATTTGTTTTGGAGTAACGTAAATTTCTTTGGAATATATTGACGATGTATTGTTCAGAGTGATTTTTTTTAGGTGGGCATCTTAATTTCATAGTATGTTAGATTGTACATGCGTTGATTTGCTGCTGTTTCGAGATTGTAACTATCAAAGTTTACAAAATGGTGATAGGTGGTGTTTTAACCAAATCATTTACTTAATTGTAGTCGTACACTATCAAGAACAATATACAGAACATTTTATTGTAGTTATATCGGAATAATGTAAACTTCTTTGGAGTATATACTGATGATAACGCACCATCTTTAGGAGTTATTATTTGGGGCGTACACTATTGAATCTTGTAAACTTATAGGCATTAATTTGCTGCCTCAAGCGTACAAGATTACAAACTATGGAATTTCACAAGTGCATGAAAATCACTGAAGTGGTTTATCCTAAAACAAAGGCGAGTACTTTTTAGGGGGTTTTTAGATATTAATCCATTAAATTGAGGTATATTGATTTCTTTTTTCTTTAAGGAATCGAAAGGTTCGATGGCATTGCGTTAATAAGAAGTTGAGTACAGACATGGACTGGAGCAAGAACTCATAACTGCAAGCTGTGGGCAAAGCATCAAACAATGCCCAACAGTCACCGAGAGTGCATGAGGTGGATGGAGGATTAAACGGAGGTTTCATCCAATTCCTCAAGTCAGGAGATTGGATGGATGAAGGGTGGGGGTGTTTCGGCCGAGATGGAGCCACGTAGAGCGCGAGAGCTCACAAGTGATGAAAAGATGGTTAAGAGTATCATATTCCATGTTTTGAGAGGTAGTCTCTCTAGATGGGAGGCCCAAGTTGATTGCTCACCACAAGGAACAACTTGACTCGGGGAGGAAGAATCTTAAGCCTCCGGACCCTCCAAAGGAAATATCACAGCCGGGGATGGGGGGCGCGCGTGTCAACCGTCGTACGTCAATCCAAACAAGGCTGTAAATGGCTTTTGAGGAGAAATCGACGGTGAATTGGCCATTCCAAACCAAGGAATCCGAGTGGGGGTCATCGGGAAGATAGCGTGACAGCATAGGTGTTTGAAGAATATGGAGCTAGCTGTAGCATCATCGAAGGCAGCCGATATGAGATTATAGACGGCAACAGACGATATAGGCAGTGAAAATTCAGAGCCGATTGAGGAATTGTTGAGGTTTGGTTTGGAGACCCAAAGATCGTCGGAGATGGAGATTCTCTTGCCGTTGGCAATAGACTAGGAACAACCGTGTTTAATAAGCTTCCTACTCGAAAGAATGATGCTCCGTAATGGGGATGACGATGCCTTAGCTGAAGTAGTCCGAAAGTACTCGTTTGTAAGGAATCTGTCAGTGAGGAAGGTAATCCAAATAGCGCGCTTGTTGTAAAGAATCTTGGTCGTCGCTGTTTGGCTCAGAAGCCTGCTCAACCAGTCCCTGATATTCTCTCTAGTGCACCACCAAGAACACAAATGGAGAGCTTGCCGCTGATCTGCTCCCAAATCACTCACAGAGGTGAAGAGATCGCACAAAGGGGTGAGAGCACAAAGCTCACAGAAGAGAGGGGGATCGCACAAAGCTCACAGGAGCTCACTATTCTCTGCCTATTCGTCTTCCCCCACCAAGCTACTACCAGTCGTTCGACCTAAATAGAGAAGGGGGCAGCCGACATGGGAGAGAAGCCTAAATCACTCACAGAGGTGAAGAGATCGCACAAAGGGGTGAGAGCACAAAGCTCACAGAAGAGAGGGGGATCGCACAAAGCTCACAGGAGCTCACTATTCTCTGCCTATTCGTCTTCCCCCACCAAGCTACTACCAGTCGTTCGACCTAAATAGAGAAGGGGGCAGCCGACATGGGAGAGAAGCCTAGGGTTTCGAATGGTAGGAGCCGACCTACAGGGATGGGAGATGAGACTCACAGCGGCTGCAGCGCAGGACACTGGAAATAGGGAAGGAGCGGCCGACATAGGGTTCAGTACCATTGGGTAGTAGGAGATGGGAAGAGGCTGAGTACAATACGGTATGAAACATTTAGAGAGGGGCTAGGGCAAAAACTGTGGGGAGCTGGGCCTTTTGGTAACGGGCCAGTTTTTGGGCCAACAAATAGCAACAATCTTCACCTTTGGCCCATCGTAGTGCACAGAGGAAAAACACGGAACTGCAGGTCTCATCATCGCCAAACCATTACCTGTATGATCACAAAGAAGATACAAGTAATGGAAGAGAATACACAAAGTAAACTCATATCACAAAGATCGGGGTAAGATCACCAAGCATACCAAGTCCACAAAGGACCGAACTCTACCAAACGATCATCGAGTTCAAAGGGGAGAAAGTCACAAAGCTACTAACAAGCACAAAACAAGTTAATAGGCCACAAAGGCAACACACAAAGCAAAGAAAAAATTACCCAAAGTCAAAATTCAAGATTCTTTGACACGAGATAAATTTTTCAGTAGGCAAACACGTGGTACCCATGTTAGCGGGATTAAATTCTAAGGGAATTTCTCTAACTTGACAATACTCTTTTCAACTATATCCCGAATGTAATAAAATCTAACATCAATATGTTTAGTTCTATCATGAAAAATAGGATTTTTGCAAAGTTGAATAGCAGATTGACTATCAAAAAATATAACCATATTTTTTTCAAGAAAACCAATTTCAGATATAAGGCCCCTAAGCCAAATAGCTTCTTTAAAAGATTCAGTTGTAGCAACATACTCAGATTCAGTAGTAGATAAAGCAACAATGAGTTGTAAATGAGATTTCCAACTTATGCAAGAGCCATGCAAAGTAAACACATAGGAAATAGTAGATTTTCTATTATCTCTATCATTTGCATAATTGGAATCTAAATAGCCAACTAGTTTGACACCTTCAGAACACTTAGAGAAGGTTAATCCTACATCCACAGAGGATTTTAAATATTTTAAAAGCCACTTCAAGGCATTCCAATGAGGCATACCAGGGTTTGACATGTATCTACTCAAGCAACTAACCGCATATGCAATGTCAGGCCTAGTACTAACCATGAGATACATGACCGATCCTATAGCATTCGAATATGGCACCTTCTTCATATCATTTATTTCAGTTTCAGTCTTGGGGGACTGATCCTTACTTAACACAAAATGGGAAGCAAGAGGCACATTCACAAATTTGGCATCATACATAGAGAATTTACTTAAATTTTTTTCAACATATGAACTTTGGTTTAAAACTAGAGTAGATTTGTTTTTGTCCCTAATAATATTCATGCCTAGGATTCTTTTAGCATCACCTAAGTATTTCATGTCAAAATTTTCACAAAGACGTTTTTGAACATGCTCAATAGACTTCAAACAAGGACTAACAATCAACATGTCATCCACATAAATTACAAGAAATACAGGCACAAAGTCTATATTCTTATAATACAGGAAATGATCAGCATAACTCCTTTTAAACTTTAAGGATTGCATGCATTTATCAAATCTAATATTCCATTGCCTAGGTGATTGTTTTAAACTATACAAAGCCTTTTTTAACAAACACACATGATCAGGCAATTTATGGTCCACAAAGCCCTCAGGTTGGTGCATATAAATATTTTTATCAAGATCACCATGCAAGAAAGCAGTAGTTACATCCATTTGTTTTAATTCCCAATTAAAATGAGCAACTAAAGCAAGCATAATTCTAACAGTAGTGAATTTGACAACATGAGAAAAAATTTCAGTATAATCAATTCCCTCCTTTTGAGTAAATCCCTTAGCTACTAACCTAGCCTTAAACCTAACACTTTCAGATTCTTGTTTCACCTTAAACAACCACTTACAGTCCACTACAGAACAACTAGCAGGTTTAGGAACAAGTTTCCATGTTTGGTTAATTCTTAGGGATTCCATCTCACTCTTCATAGCACTAATCCATTCTTCAGAATAGTTTGACATTAATGCTTCTCTATAAGTCTTAGGTTTATTGCACTCAAGGGATTCAAACACATTAAAGGCAAACTCAAATATATTACAATCAATCAAATTGCAATCTCTATATCTTTTAGGTTTCCTAATGGTTCTTTTATTTCTATCCCTAGTGAGTTGATAATCATTCAAATTATGTATGTTATCTATTTCCTGCATATCATGCTCCACCTCATTAGGAATAATCTCATCTTGATTTTTAATAATTATATTATTCAATTTTTCTTCAGGAGGTAATTTGGGTTGATTAATAATAGGCATTTGCTCCACCTCATTTGGAGCATCATTTTCAGGAATAGGAACATGTAAAGGTAAATAAGGAAATTCATTTTCATTAAAAATAACATCTCTGCTTATCACTACCTTAAACCCCGGTTCACTCTTATTCCAAAGCCTATAACCTTTTACCCCTTCAGGGTATCCTAAGAAAACCCATTTCTTAGATCTAGGTTCTAACTTATCAATCTTTTGATGTACATAGCCAACACTCCAAAAAAATCTTAAATTATTTAAATCAAGAGGTTTGCCCGTGAACACAAGCTCAGGGCATTTCCCTCCTAAGGGAACAAAAGGAGACCTATTAATCAAATAGGCCGCAGTACAAACAGCTTCTCCCTAGAACTTCTTGGAGAGCCCAGATGTGGCCAACATAGCCCTCACCCTCTCTAAGAGAGTTCTGTTAGACCCTAGAGGGGGGGTGATTAGGGTCTTATGCTAATCTAATCCGATTAAATGCCAATTAAAACTTATTAACAAGTTATCCTAGCAAGTATGAAATACAACAATGTATATGAGCTAGGATAAGTAATATGAACAACAAAGAGATATATCCTATATGATGAATATGTA